ACCCCCCAATAAATCTACTTTGAAAAAACTTTTTTAAAAAGCAAACCTTATCTGAATAGTTTTTTTCAAATAGAGTGCCACAGGAAATTAATAAGGGAAGCTAAATGTACCTACATATATTAAAACAGGTCTCTGTTCTAAGAGTCATTTGACGATCTCAAATATATATATATATATATATATATATATATATTTATATCTCTAAAAGTGGATATTGAGTGGAGTTGAAGTATGCTAGCTTGGAATGGTTTTTAAAAATGCTGTCATGAATGTGATTTTTCTCAGATGAATAAGATGCATTCATACGAGTTCAAGGGCCTGCGGTAATGAATCAAGGGACAGTTAATATTTCTGCTGGCGCATTAGTTTATTTCCTGGTTCAGCTCCTGACTCTCCCTGACAGATGTCTTGATTTCTCTCCCCATTGGCTAACAGATGCTGCATTTCAAGGCAGAACAAAGGCTCCCTTTCAGAAAAGTGGCTCTGCATGGGAGGATTTTTACAGTCTCTCGTGCTCTGTGCAGATGTTCCTCCTTTGTCCCGTGTCTTTTGTTGGCAGTTAACCCTTATCTTTCCCACTGTCCCCTTCTCATTTTTTGTCAATCCTCGCTTTCTCATCTTCTTACTCCTTCGCCCCCATCTTCCCTTTTTCTTCTTCAGACCCCCCAGATACTCAGCACCTGTTGTCCCATAGAATGTACTTTTGTGTTTCCTCATTTACGATTGAGCCCTCCTTTTCTGCTCACTCAGCTTCGATCCCCAGCTGGCCTTTGTCACTCTCCAAAGTCTCTCCTTCAACAGGCCTGTCAGCCAACGTGTGTGGACGAAGAGCAAGTTAGGAATGCAACGGTCTTCAAAAAGTTCATGGGGAAATAACATTATCTCTTCCTTCAATTTTTCCACAAAATTTTGAAGCCGCTTCCTTATTTTCCGCTTCCAAATAATTCAGGGATCTGATGTTAAGAAGAAAGTTTAACTCCTGGGCTCTCTCCCTAACAGCGTGTTTCCAGTGTTAATGGAGTCTACATTTTAAAAGTGTCACTTACCTTTAGTGTACAGGAAGGGCACTTAATGAAAGAAAATAAAGTGAGCAGAAAGCATGTACCATACATTTATACAAATAACACCTTCTGCATTTGTTGGCCAACCACTCCCTCTCCCAAAGAGGTGTTTTTGTAAGCACTCTAAATTAACTTCTTTTTTCTACAGCAACCTGTTAAAAAAAACCAAAACACTAGCATAGCAGTATGTATATAAATACGTCCCGCAGGAAGAAGCAGTTGGCAAACAAATGTATGTGTTATTTGCATATAAATCTGGTACTACTTATGCCCTTGGAGATGAATCGTCAGCTTAGGGTGAAGGAAGCAGGCAAGAAAGAGCCAGGAGATGATGTGAATGGAACCTGGGACACCTCTGGAGAGGGAAAGCCGTCATCTCCCTGTGATCAATCTAAAGAAAGCACTGAATTTACACAAGCTGTTTCCTGACCAAGAAAAGCCCCACCTGCCATGGTTGATCACAGTGTGTGCAGGACTTAGCATTAGGAACACGGTCGTCTTCCATCTCATTACTTTAATCACTGTGTCAAACTAAGTTCAACATGCATACATCAAAGTATGATTTTTTGTAAGAATGTATAACACGAAAGTCCCAGAGACACAGCGGCAAACAACTGGAAATGGATTCAATGCAATGTTCACCCCATAATTGCCTGGGTGGCACAAATGGTTTGCGATCCGCTTCTAACCTAGAGGTTCCCAGTTTGGACCTAGCCATCAGCCTTGCAGAAGACAAACCAAAACAAACGTAGAGCCATCGACGGGTCAGAACTGTCCTTGTGGGTTTCCAAGGCTGTCGCTCTTTCTGGAGGTAGAAAGTCTCATCTTTCTCCCAGGGAGCGACTGGTGTTTTCAAACTACTGACCTTATGGTTAGCAGCCCAATGTGTAACCACCACACGACTAGCACTCCTTGACTGAAGAAAGGCTTGCCACATTGCTTCCATAAAAATGACAGCCTCAAACATGCTATGGAACAGTTCTACTCTGTAATGTATGGGTTTGCCATGAATTGGCTGTCAGCTGCTAAGGACAATTGTCAAGCATTTGGCTCCTCCCCCAAAGATCTAAGGCATGGGCCCCTTTAACAATACATACTCCTAATGCAGAATCAGATTCTCCCTCTGTGCTGGCCAGTTTTTCGTCAGCTTACTGGCGAATAACTGATGAAGTCATTTCCGGATTGTAAGGAGGGCACACTGGGAGATGAATTGGCTTTTCTAAGCCCTAGGGTGCCAGTTAGTAGAATGATAGTTAAGTGGAACAAAAAGGTTCCAAGAGATGGTTTTGTCCAACTCTGCTCCCTTCCCTGCCCCCCCTGAATTTTTCAGCTCAAGTGGCTGAGGCTCCAGGGGGTGGGCTCTGCACACACACAGCTGGTTCTTCCAGGGCTCCTGTATCCCTAAGCAAGTACTTCAAGTGAACATTTTCTGAGTACTTCCTATGTGCCCAGCACTGCCCTGAGCACTTGGTTTTATCTAACCCTTTCTCCCAACACTTCCCTCAATTATATATGATTGCCTTCAATTTCAGGTAATAGTATCAAGGCACAGAAAACTTACGTCATTTGCCCAGTAGGAAATGTTGGAAAGCTAGACCAGGAACCCAGGAATCATTGCCTCCATCTTAAATTCCTTCTGATAACCCCCCTGAAGGTAGTTTCTCAGACTCTCGCATCTCTAGAAGTCTACAGCAAGACTGGCAGGTGAAGGCCTTCCACTCAAATACATCCATCGGAACATATGTTGTGGTTGTTTTCTCCAGAAACTGCTGAGTTCCACAGTAGCCACAGACTAGTTGACTAGCAAAGCCGGAAACAATCTCTGATCCAAACTCACCCTAGTGGCACAGTGGGTCATGCGTTGGGCTGCTAACTGTAAGGTCAGCAGCTCAAAACCACCAGTCGCTCCATGGGGAAAAGATTAGGCTTTCTACTCCCGTACAGTTATAACCTCAGAAACACACAATTTGACCCTGTCCTATCAGGTTGCTGAGTTGGAATCAGCTCGAAGGCAGTGATTTTGGATTTTGAAGTCAGCTCAAGTTAAATGGCAAGAATGGTTCTTAAGATGAGGGTTGACAATCCCTAACCTAAAAACCAAACTCACTACACGGAGCCAATTCCAGCTCATAGCAACCCTCGAGGACAGGGTAGAAGGGCCCCCTATGCGTTTCTGAGACTATAATTCTTTACAGGAGTAGGACGCCTCATCTTCCTCCTGAGGAGCAGCTGGTGGTTTCAAACTGTTGACTTTGAGGTTAGAGGCCCAACACATAACCCACTATGCCACCTGGATTCCAGCATCCGGTAATCATATAGTACTTTACAATGGACCTGGGTCCTGGGGTGGTATAGTGGATTAAACTTTGGACTGCAAACTGCAAGGTCAACTGTTTAAGTCTGCTCACTGCTCCACTGAAGAAAACACAAGACTGTCTGTTTCTGTAAAGATGTAGTCGTGGAAACCCTACTAGGGAGCAAACCTATTCTACCCTATAGAGTTGATTATGAGTCAGAATTAACTCGACAGAAATGGGTTAGGTTTGGTTTTATAATGTACAAAGCTTGGGTTGTGTCATCACATTTAACTTTGGGTTCGTTTGGGTGGCTCACAATTATACAGAAGGCCAGAACTCAAGGGAATGTAGGTGACTTGCCTAATCAGAGCCAAAGGAGCAGAAAGTGGAAGCACCACATAGCCATGTTCTGACTTCCAATTGCAAGCTCTTTCCATGTAGCTACTCAGTGTCCCTTAAATTATTGCTAGGGAAACACTTGGAAACTGCAAACTGCCTGAAACACTGAAAGCAAGTCTGACAGCCGTCGGACCCATTTGCCAGGTGCCCTCATGTAATGGGCATCATCAAGTGCTAAAAAGATTACTGAATTTGTAACACTTTTAAAAGAAACATTTATTTCTTAAAGAGCATGACAATCATAAGAAATAGATTTTGAAATATATGTGCTCATTATGTATTAAGGCACATGACGTCTGAACCTACTTCAATCTAGATAGCACATGTCCCCAAAATGAGCAACTGCCACATTTCTCTCCTTGCAGAGATGAGCCTAAAAAAAGTCTACTTGTTCCACACCAAACAATGTACATGTAAGAAGGCAACTGTGCCCACCTTGTGGTAAATATTCAATCAATATGCAGTCAGTGTTAAATGAACTCAATACGCTGAAGGCCACTAGTAATAAACTCATCATACATAGATGAACATTAGGCTTGTTTAACAATCTTCGGCTTGTTAACTATAAGCTTAACCAAAACAACAAATTTTTTTTCAAGGAAGCATCATCTGCAAATTCAAGTTCAATGTAAACAGCAAGAATGATTCTTAAAATAATACGGCTGAACACAATTGGAACACTTGAGTCTGAAATGAAGGCGCTCAGCCCTCCTTTTAATTTCAGATGTAAAATACCTTGATATTGATTGTGCTTTACTCATATATAATGGGTAGTGAGACACCCTAAAATCAGTGCAAGTTAACAAGGGAGGTTGGGTGTGCGCTGTGTTAGGCACCTTCCCACCCCCAGTATTTTATTTCCTGAAATGTTCCCGTTGAGCTATGACGCATTTCCTTCCCCATTACAGATAAGAAAAGGCACCCAGGTAGTATAATGATGCATGTTGTGCTGTAAGAATAGCAGTTTGAAACCACCAATCCCTCCTCAGGAAAAAGAAGAGGATTTCTACCCCCATAAAGAGTTACAATCTTGGAAAGTTCGACTGTCCTGTGAGGCTGCTAAGAGTCAAAATGGACTTGGTGACAGTGAGTTTGGTTTGGTTCACCAAGGAGGAAGCTGAGGCTCAAAGTTAACTAATTTGCTCAAGGTCTTTGATTATAAACCAGATTACCTTTAAAACCCAAGCCCTTTCCCACTGCTCCACATAGATTCCCAATAACACTGAGTCTCTCACAAATACTCACTTTAAGTACAGAACTTCACCTTTATTGAATGCGTTACCATTGTGATTCTGCCCACACTATAATACTCTGAGAAACTTGTTCTTCCCGTCACAGATTTCGATTTGTCCTTATAAGGAAAAGCAGGAGTAGAGGCACCGACAGTTACAGGAGCTTTTCAACCAAGCTTGCAACAAATACAAATAGAAATAATTCTTGAGGGCCAACACTTGCAATCACGTACAACTGATGTTTGCATGAGAACTCTGCCCACAGTTATTTCACAGAGGGATGTTTTATAATACAAGAGGGAGAAAACAAAAACAAAAACCCAGCATTACTTCAGACTGTCAATCAACTGACTTTCCAATCATTGATTGGTGGTGGTCAACAGAACACAGACTGCCACTTCAGACAAATGGGGTCTGCCAACAGTTTTATCAGAGTTCATTAATTTGGGAGGTAGAGTGGGGAGGGCAGTGGTAGAGCATAAGAGCCTTAAAGAGTGGGAACTTTGCCTTATGTCTTTTTAAAACCTCACCGATGTTTGGCACAGGGCAGACTGCTAAAAGGCTACCGATTGAACAACTTTTCAGGTTAACGCATCTCTTTTCAGAGCTGCTCCCATGGAAGGGTCTCAAAGGTCTAAGAAATAGGAGCATACACTACTCTGTGGTATTAGGCAAACTGGGAAGGAAACCTGCTGGTTATTGGGGAGAATTACAGATATAACCTCTAACAAGAGACAGAGAAGTTCATTGTAGAAACTAATTTAGCCCCTTCTCTAGGAACTAAACATTTAACTAAAAATGGACAGAAACCTAGAAACGGCCACTAACAGGCACTGTGAACCAGTTTTCCTTTTGCATGATTCCACCTGCAACACCGTCTCTGCCAGCACTCTGCAGGGCTGGCATTCGCTTTAAAGGTCAAGTCCAGTAATGTGGAACGAGACGCTGTGACTTCCTTCTTTTCGGTTTGTCAACAGGGCTGGTTTTCTGAAAGAAGGGAGAAGGTTGTTTCTGCCGTGTTTCCCCATCTATAATTTCCATATGCCTTTTTCAAAAAGTTATAAAAACACAGAAAGGTACAGAAAGAATAAATTAAGAAATGATTATTCACATCATAAAGGGATTCTCCAAAGAGTTCCTTCCTTTAAGTATTAGACAAACTCCCTCAGGGCATTTAACTTGGGGCTTGCTTTAAAGGCAGCTCTTTAGAAATACATTTCTTGTGTAAAGTGAGGTATACCTATTGTTCACTTCGATCCTTCTCCAAAAACAATCCAGCATCTGAGTTCCATCCACCCGTCACAGAAACCGTGCCTAGAGCTTCTCCCACCTCCTTCTTCAGGAGTTGAGGCTTTACAGAATCCAGCCAAGGAAGAGAAAGACCCATTTGTGACCATCATCCTTCCACTGTTCGGCAGTAAGTTTCCTTGTAAACGCAGGTGTTAGCTTCACGTTGGCTCAGGGGCCAGGGTTACAGGGAGTGCAGTAAGTGAGACATAAGGAGGAAGAGACGCAAAGGCTTCTGGGAGTTATGCTAGCTCTTCTCTGCACGCACTCCAAGACGCGCAAGGGGTCCTCTTTAACTCCTAACACCGAGGTTCACTAACAGCACAGCCGCTCAGCTCCTCCTCACACTCTGCCATCGAGTGGATTTCTACTCAGGGCGACCCTACAGGGCAAGCTAGAACTGGTCCCATGGGTTCCTGAAACGGGACATCGTTACAGACGTAGAAAGCCTCATTGTCTTTCTCTGGTGCAGAGGCTGGCGGTTTCAAACTGCTGACCTATGGTTAGCAGCCCTACACGAAACCCACTACACCACCAAGGCTCCTTGCTCAACTCCTAGTTGTGCAAAGAAAGAAACCCCCAAAACGTATGGGATACCAGCCGCTTCCCCCACCACCACCACACCCACACACAATCTTTGTGCTATAAAATATCAACTGGTAAGTCACTTGCCACAGAGCAAACAGTGTGTGGAGAACGTGGTCCCACGATACGCACTCAAGATGCACAAGCAAAGGACCCCAAAACGAAAGAGCTGGCTTCCCTGAGTCACACCCAGGGGACAGCAGTGTCATCGTTCAAACCAGTGTGCCAAGTTGCGCACGCTCTTGGGCCGGTCCCCAGCCGTCTGCACGGCCTGGCAGGTCCGGCACCAGGGCTCGTCCCAGAAGGAGGTGAGGTGCACGGCGTGGCTCCGGCGCCAGTGGAAGTAGCGGCGGTAGGCGGCCGGGTTGTGGTCCAGGAATTGCAGGTAGGCGGCCAGGGAGGCTGCACTGGGGAAGTCGTCCACGTGGATGAAGGCACCGCGGGGCAAGAAGCGCTCGTAGTTGGCTCGGTTGGGGCCCAGGACCACAGGCACCGTCCCGGCCAGCAAAGAGTTGCGCCAGAGCTTCTCAGTGATGTAATCCAGGTGCTGCGAGTTCTCGAAGGCCAGGTAAAACTTGTAGCGGGCCACCGTGTGCAGGAGCCCGCTGTCGGGCAAGGGCCGTCCAGGCCCACTTTTGCCAAACACATCGATGGCCACGTGCTGGCTCAGCTGGTGGTAGTAGCGGACTCGGGAGTGGCGCTCGTTCCAGTGGCTCACCACCCAGGCCACCAAGCCCCGCTTCCGGGCCAGCGACGGGGCCAGGCCCGGTGGTTGGTCACTGGGGTGGCTCCTGGGGTAGAGGTAGCCATAAGGCACGAAGATGTCCGAGTCGGCCCGGTAAGAGAGCGTCCAGTTGAAGAGGTTAGCGGCCAGGTTTCGCAGCCCCGGGGAGTGGGAGGGCGACTCGAAGTTCATCCACACCCAGCGCTGACCTGGGGGCCTGCGTCCCCACTCGGGCAGCGCTCTGGCGACAGCCGCTTCCTCGTCGTCCAGCACCCGCGGCTCCAGGGCCTCGGCAGAGCGCCCTGGGGCGTCCCAGGGCGGGGGCCAGTCGGGAGGCCCCTTCACCAGGTCCCGGTGGTGGAAGAGCACGGCTTGTGCCTCCCCGTAGGCCGAACGGTCTGTGAGCAGGCGACAGCCGCTGATGTTGAAGCGCAGCCAGCAGTCGGGGGGCGGTCTCAGGGCGCCGCTGCGGCCCCGGAACGGC